GATTATTGTGAGTTGGATCTGACTCAACAGCAGTGAGTTTGGTTTGGTTTATGATGGAAACATACTTGTAGCAATATTTTGTATGCATATTTATTTCCTTAGGGTAAATTCATAGAATAATTAAAGTGCTATTACCCCAAATTTAATTATGTAATGTAGTCTCATACCTAGTGGTACAAGTCTTTTACTATTAATCACATTTTCACTCCTTGATGACTTTTAGAATCATTTTGTCAAATTATAGGAAAATCCTATTGGAATTATTAAAATAAAATAGGATTCTGCCTTCTTTTGATGTAAAAGTAAATCTGTCCTTTGCACTCACAGAGAGCTATTATTCCAGTAAATGTGGTAAAATCAAAGACTTTATAGTATCATATTTAGATTTCTCATCAATGAATAAGTATAGCTTCTTGTTTTCTTTTACCTACATCAAGCTCTGGTAGTATAGTGCCTAAGGCACTTGACTGCTAATCAGAAGGCTGGCTCATACCCACCAGCCACTCCTCGGAAGGAAGGTTGGGCAATCTACTTCCCTAGTGATACTTCCTCGGAAACCCAAGGAGGGGTTGCTATTAGTTGGTCCGACTCGATGGCACATAACAACAATAACAACAAGCATTTTGTATAGCTGCCTTCATAGGTATTCTGAATCTTTTTAATTATTAGGATTTTAGGGCATTTTTATGTTTCATTGTAGTAACTTAAATATTTGACCATTTTTTAATTAGCTTTTTAAACTGATTATTACTAGCTCTATAAGGAAATTGTGTGTGTGTGTGTGTTTAGTTGGTATACAGAACCTTAACCTTGCAGCTGAATCTTGGATTTTTGAGGTAGATAATTATTTCTGAATTAAGTTTTGTCTTCTGTTTTTCAATAATTACTTGTTGTCTTCTTTTTCTTGTTTTAGTTTATTGTCTAGAACTTTTAAAGCAATTTAAAATAATAGAAGTAAGATACAGAAGCACAATAATGTCTGTTAAATGTGTTTTCTTGTAATTTGACAGAAAAGATTCTAAAGTTCATTTAGAAGAAAAGGGTGAAAACAAAAGAAGATTTTCACTGGTAGATCTTAGACTTAATATTACATACACTGTGATATTGGCACTGAAAAATCCAGCTATATAACTCTGATTGTATTCTTGAATACCCCATCTTCCCCAAAAAATTCAAATGAATGTTGAATTTTATCAAATATCTTTTTCACTTCACTGAGGATGATCATATCTTTTCTTTTTCTTATGTTGTGATGTATTTATTAAAGTCATTTGCTATTTTTAACCTTCCTTTCACTCTAGAATAAATCATACTTAGTTCTTTAAACAAATACCAACAAAACAATATCATCTCTGAAATTTTCAGATTCTTGCCTTTTCCCTTAAAGGGGAGATTAGTCTATAGAGATCTTTAATTTTTTTTTTCAATATTATCTAGGTTAACTTTCAGCATTTTGCAATGTAAGATGTCTTAGAAAGCTCTTCATTTGTTTTGTAAATAAATGAACTAATGGAATTGCCATTCACTGAATGGAAATATTATATAGCTTTTGTCACTTTCCTAGACACTTACTGGTAGGAAAGGATCACTATAGGAATGAGTTTACTGTAATCATCACCTTGATAACAGACATTGAATCCCAAGATTGTTTGACACATGATGAGTATGCTTTGTGTATTTAATCTTCTGTTTTTGTTCTCTAGTGCTGCTCCAACAGAAATACCACAAGTGGGTGGATTTAACAAACGGATTTATTCTCTTACAGTTTAGGAAGCTAGAAGTACAAGTTCAAGGTGCTGGTTCTAGGGGCTTGGTGAAGACCCCTCAACCTTGGGCTTCAGCTCTGCCTCTTGCTTCTAGCCCACTGAAGCTGGAGGCATCTCTTAACTCAGGCAGCTGCTGACTACTGAGGCTGACAAACCCAAGGTCGACAAAAAAAATGGCACAGTCCAAAAATTGTCAAGCAACAAGGCAGGCCCCTAGTTCAAGTCCAGAAATAGTCCCAAGATCGGCAGGCAACATGGCAGGCTGCTGAATGAAGACTTAGCTACATGCAGGCTCCAAGCATGCCAAAAAGCTTAGAGACCTTTCTCACAGTGTCTTCTTATATACTGGAAGCAGACCACATCCCTAAGGCAGCATGGAGTTGATTACCAGTCTCATCATGGGGAGTTACTGCATCCAGTTGCCCAGCCACTCAAAACCAGGCCCAGCCAAGTTGACACATAACCTTAACTACCACATCTTCTTAACGAAATCCCAGGGAAAATATCAATCCTGGCCCTAATGACAGTAAATGGGCTTTGCATTCATAGAATGCTCTTATTCTCAGGAGTACAAATCTCTTCATAGTTAATTATTTCAGTCATCCTCATAGTCGTCCCATGAGATGAGTAGCTAAGTGCTTCCTCTTTAAAAAAAAAAAGATAACTAATTGAATTTTCTGCTCCTGTTCTACATTCTGTATTCTAGAACTGGATGGCTACCTTCTAAAGACCATCTGTGTGCCCACTGCTGAAACTGTGCTTCAAAGTAACAAGCTTCATCCACATAGGAATACCAGGCTAGGAGCAAATGTGGAGTAGTAAAGTTGGCATGAATTTGGATGATAGTTTGGCAAAATTCTGAGTGGATTAGGATAAACTTGGTAATTTAGCAGTGGCTGAGTTTGAGGTTTGATACCAGCATTAGAACTGGTAGTCCATGCTATTGAAGGTTTGTTTTGAAAATATCTTCTTACTAAGGCACCTCTGTCATACTTCTGTTCCCACAACATTGTGCTAGTGATTTATCTTGCAGAGAAAATCTGTCAGTCCTGTTTTACAAAGAGGGCACTTGGTCTTTTCACATCCTGCTGCTAATGTGTTCGTAGCTGGGGACTTTTCAAAGGGACAAAAGAAAGATGATATGTCTACAATTCTTGTTAACAACTCCTAGGTGTTGCCCACCTCCTAGCCTTTCCTCTTCCAGTAATCCTCCATTTCTCTGCCAGGCCAACATTTCTCATGTTCTCTTTTCATCAGAAATGAACAGCGCTTTTCCATGCATACATCTTGTCAGGGGAGCAGAGATAAGTTACAGTTAAAACCTCTTGTTTTATCTAGTGATCACCTCATTCTTTTCCTTCCTTCATAATATGCTTTTCAGTCTTCAGTAATTCTCTTGTTTAGTTCTGTCTCTCCAGTTAGTCCACAAGCTCTTTGAGTAAAAGTTCAGGTTAGGTCTTTTTTGCAAAAAATATCTTTGAATTCCCTTCATGTATTCCTCAGCACTAGAGTGTTTAAGTACTCAATACACACATGTGGTTGATCTGTTCGCCGCCCACAACTGCAAAAAAAAAATTGCCTGTACATAGAGACTATGCCACTTTAACGTTCTCATTTATCTTTCATTAAATAAAGGCTTAGCTGTCACAACTTTGAGTTTTTCCTTCCTCTTATTTTTTTCTTGAAGTTACCCTGAAAGGCAGGCCTTTAAGATGTGAGGGGTTATGCTTAAGTTGTATGGAGTACTCAGGGTGGGGACTAATTAGGAGGTTTGAAAACCTCTTCAGGTGGCTGGATTCCTTAGCTGGACTAAAATACTGCTTTCCTAAATTGAGAACAGCTGGGGCCGTGTTGCCAGCAAGTATAAGAGTTGATGGTGGTGCTCTGTGTTATAAAAAAGTCTTTGCCCTTGGAGCCTCTGGAGTGTAAGCTAAAGGCATCCTTTTCCTCATCAGTATTGTGGTAAGTGCCTTGAACTGGTCTTCTAGATGGCACTTTCTGTTATTTGGTAAAAACTGTGGTGGCTCATAACCTATCAAAATGTTGTAACTAATTTTCTGTGTCAATTGTAGTAAACTATTTTATCATTTAAGATTCTTCTTATACCCAAATGAGACATAGCTGACTTGTGGGTCTTATCACAGTATCATTTTGAAGACTGCCAACTCTTCTTATGGATGGTGTGCATCTCTGAATATGAAAGTATGAACTGAGGCAGAGTCATTTTAAATATCTTGATTGTGTAGTTTTAACTTGAATGTGTTCTTTAAAAGACTCTAGTTTTGTTATAATAGAAAAATGACAATTTTGACAAATGCGTGGTAGCAGTTATTCAGTGCATGCAAGCAATTCATCACATATTTTTATTCTTTAAGGTTCATTTAAAAAAGCTGCAGCATTAGGAAGGAATGATGTGAACTCGAGGCTGGTTCTAGCTTATTATGACGTACTTCATGGTTAGCAACGAGTAACAGTGTCTGATGAAATCTTTGAGATGTTGGGTCCTGACTTTTAAAGGGAATTTTAAGAATTTTAAAGGGATTTGTTTGTCAGAATGTTTCTATTTATATTGGCATCAGCCCAACAAGAGACAAAAATTCCAAGATAAAACAATTCAATATTTTATAAATAAACTTGATCTCAGCAGCTTTAACTTTGTTCTAATGGTTTCTTTGTAAAGTGAATGGCTTTGGTATTTCTTTCTCTTTTTTTGACAATGGTATTGTTTTGGGTGGTTGATGATCAGATAAGCACATTTTCTGAACATGGTTTTGTTTTGTTTTTGCAGGTGGGATAGTATCATCTTTTGGGGAAAGAGAATTGGCTGCCTTTCTTGAATTCAGCAAATGTACAACAGATCACTGCATGGGAGAAACAGTATGGCTGATTGTCTACATTTTGTATTAGAAAACAAAATCAGTTGTAAGAGTACATGTTGATCTTGGAAATAGAAGATTTTAAAAAGTTAAGTCTACAGAGTATAAAAGCTTGACCATCTCCTTTTTGAGCTAAAGAGTGGAGGACAATGGATATCATAGAGACAGCAAAACTTGAGGAACATATGGAAAATCAAACCAACGACCCTACAAACACTTATACAAGGCCTGCTGAACCTGTTGAAGAAGAGAACAAAAATGGCAATGGTAAACCTAAGAGCTTATCCAACGGGCTGCGAAAGGGTACCAAAAAATACCCAGACTATGTTCAAATTGCAATGCCCACTGAATCAAGGAACAAATTTCCCCTAGAATGGTGGAAAACAGGCATTGCATTTGTGTATGCTCTCTTCAACTTGGTCTTGACAACTGTCATGATTACAGTTGTACATGAGAGGGTCCCTCCCAAGGAGCTCAGCCCTCCACTCCCAGACAAGTTTTTTGATTACATTGATCGAGTGAAATGGGCATTTTCTGTATCAGAAATAAATGGGATTATATTAGTTGGACTGTGGATTACCCAGTGGCTGTTTCTGAGATACAAGTAAGTAGGTCTAATATGTTCTTTGGGGTTTGCTATTAGTTTAAGTGAGCAGATATATGATTGAAATTATCTTTATCAGTTTCATCTGATAAAGTCAGTTTTATTGAGGTATTTGGTGAAAGGAAGGAAACATCAGAAAAGGCTACCACATTGAATAAATTCATTCAGTGTTCAATAAATGTTTATTGAGCAGGTCTGTGTGAATGTAGCAAATGCTTTGGTGGGTGATTCAGAGTTAATGAATTCAAGGTACATTTCTAGATTATAAGAACTTGACACTATGGTATTTATATGATACATCAAGAGACTTGAAAAGGAATAACTGTCACTGTAGTCACTGTATTATGTTTGTTTTATTTCAGGCTCGTGACAGAAAGGGAAGAGTAGGATAGGAAATTCTTTTCTCCATTCCTTATAATGTGATGGGCTATATTGGTCTGTAGTCAATAGCATGCTTTAAGGTTCACCTCTGTTTAAGAGTTCTCAAATTTGATATTTCTTTTCCTTTTCCCTATTGGCAGTCCAGTCACAAGAGTTTGTTTAAGAAACTGAATTTAGAACTGGGTCTATGTGGTTTGGGTTTTAGATTTCTAAAGTAAACCTGCCTTCTGCTTCTCCCAGGGCAGCACAAAGGAGCACTTAGTTCACTGGTTTCAGTCTTCCCATTTTGAAATGGCAGAAATCAGGAAGTAGCAGATCAGGTACTTTTACTTTGAAGACATTGAAAAATTGGACAAAGCCCTGGAGTGGTCATTTTTCTGCTTCCCTGTGTGAATTCTGGCCTCTGGTCAGAAAATAAATAAATAAATCCCCTCAATTTCATCTCATTCATCACTTGAAATTTGTTTTCTACTAAGATCCTAGTAATTAAATCAAGTAAAATGTAAATTTGAGCAAACCATAAACTGGGGATTTAAAAAAATGTAAGAGTCCATGTTGATCTTACAACTAAAGGATTAAAAAAAATAAGTTTCCGTAGAGAATAAGACTGACCATGTCCTTTTTGAGCTGAAGACTGGGGGGCAGTTGACATCAGAGATAGCAAAATTCAGTGAATACAATTAAGAAAATTAGAAATCAAATGGAACTTCAGTATGAATGCCAAAGTCGTATTAGAAGTGAGAGTTTATGCTGTAGTCTTTGAATTGGTTGTTGGTTTGAGATTAGAGGAATTCACTCTGTCTTTGCTAAAGAGTTCCCCAAATGCAATTTTATAGTTTTGAAAACTTATTCTAAAAAGCTGAAGCCATTCCTAAGCATTTTCCATTATATATCTCAAGAGTGTTTATCACAGTTCTCAATTGTCTTTTACTTAGCATACTTTACATTAAAAACAAAGAATACATTTGTTGAAGTTGAGTGTTTTTTAGTATGTGGAATAGACACTGAATATAAGAAAGCCTGATTGGGCAACAGATATTTGCTGTCTCCTTTAATTTAGATGAAGGCTTTATTCATATGTCCATGAAAAGAGAAGTTAACAGGGTCTCCACCCTGAAATATAGTCTTCATCTCAGTTTATTTAAGTCTTTATCTGGGTAATTGTTAACTGCCTCCCTGTTACTACCTTAAATTTTAGTATATCAAAACTCATGATTCCGTAGCTGGGCTACACATTTTAAGGATGTTACTATCACAACTCAGCATAAAAAAAACGTGTATATTGGAGGTGAGGTCAGGGAGACACTAGTTTGCCCCTTTACTTTTGAGCTATAATTGGATCTTATATTTTAGTAATTAGTGGAATAATCTTTTTTATCTGTTTTGAATATCCCAGCTACATAGGAAATCCTACTTGCTCTCTTTTTTAAAAGCATTTTTCAAAGCTAGAGAAATAAAATAATTAACAGTAGTTCCTTCTCTAAATAACACTTCAGAGTGCATGTTTCATCTTTTAAGAAAGTTTTCTGTTCTGTGTCCAGCTGTACTTAAAAGACTGGAATGAATATACTTGACTCATAGTAATTCCTGTGTATTGCTTTATCTTGTGTAACAGCATGAAACAACATCCAAAACAGAACTTTTTGGGGTCTGGGCTTGAATCAGAAGGTGAATCGCATTTCATTTAACCTAGAGGATAGACTCCGCACTGTTAATTATCCATTACTTTTCAGTACGTAAGAGTCAGAGCTAAAATAGAAAGCCTTTGAAAGAAATGCCTTGGAATAAATAAGTACTTTCACCTACCAGTCTAGATGGTGTTCTTGTATTTTGACCCTAGGAGCCCTGTGGAATATTCTTAAAGTAACTGTTGGAGAGACAGGCAGCTAACACGTATATTTGTACATAAGTCTTTAAATTAGAAGTCCTGACAGTTACCTGAATTAGAACTTGATCCATGTTAGAACCACAATCTTGGAGAAAATTGAAAATAAGTCATGTGCCTGTTTTATATACAAGAAGAATTACAGTGTTCTCACTGCTTCCATAAGGTTTCCACTGGCCAGTTTTTTCAGAAGTAGAACACTCAATCCTTCCCAGCCCGACTTAATCTGAAAGTTCTATTAAAATTTGTCCATCATGGTTGACTCTACTGCTATTTGAAATACCAGTGGCTTAGCTTCCAGCATCACAACAATATGCAAGCCACCACAGTATGACAAACTGACAGATGAGTCAATCTATGTACTGAGCAAACAATCCAAGAAGCTGGTCTATATGAAGAAGAACGTAGCATCAGGATTGGAGAACGACTCATTAACAATGATGAAATGACAGAGCTTTGCTTGAAAGTAAAGAGGACTTAAAGCATTTACTGATGACGATCAAAGACTATAGCTTTCACTATGGATTATATCTTAACATAAAGAAATCAAAAATCTTCACAACTGGACCAATAAACATCATCATAATAAATGGACAAAATATTGAAGTTGTTGAGGATTTCATTTTACTTAGATCCCTAGTCAATGCCCATAGAAGCAGCAGTCAAGAAATCAAATGACATAATGCTACAAAAGACTGCTTCAAAGTGTTTTAAAAAAGAAAAAAACAAAGATGTCACATGAGATTAAGGTGCTCCTGTCCCAAGCCATGATATTTTTTGTCACCTTACGCATGCAAGAGCTGGGCAATGAAGAAGGAAAATCTAAGGAGAATTGGTACCTTTACGTTATGGTGTGGTAAATAATACTGAATTTACCGTGGACTGCCAGAAAATGAATTAATCTATCTTGGAAGAAGTACAACCAGAAAACTTCTTAGAAGTGAGGATGGAGAGACTGCATCTCATTTATTTTGGACAGGAGGTATCAGACCCTGAAGGAGGACACTATGTTTGGTATAAAGTAAAGGGTCAGAGAAAAATAAGAAAACTCTCAATGAGATAGCTTGACACAGTGGCTGCAAGCATAGGCTCTAACACAGCAATGATTGTGAGGATGATACAGGACCAGGCATTGTTTCTTCTGTTGTACATGTAGTCACTATGAGATGGAACCTACTTGACAGCATCTAACAATACTACCAACAAAAATGGGAGTTACTAACTACTAATCATAAAGCTTTATGAGATTCCTGTGGTACCACTCAGCTCTTAAATCTCCATAGTCAAGACCTTATAGACCTGACTTTTAAATACACAAGAGAAAAGAGGTTTCCATAATTGGAAACGAGGCTACTCAGAACCCTTCATGCCCATTCAGGTACCCATGCGGCACTGATGCAGATGTGCAGAGGCCTTCCTTTGGAGAACAGTGTACTCAAAGTCAACAACTGGGGACCTCTGCCTTAGGCTGAGGATTCAGGTCATGAACAAAAAGGACTAATATTAGTCAAGCACATATCTCCACAGAAAAATAAAAAGTGAAAAGGGACTAGTGGGATTTTTGTTTTATTTGTGTTGCCTTTCTTTCTTGATCAAGGGGGAGCTCTGGTGGCGTAGCACCTAAGGCATTTGACTGCTAAACAGAAGGCTGGTGGTTCAAACCCACCAGCCACACCTCAGAATGAAGATGGGGCAATCTACTTCCATGTGATACTGCCTCGGAAACCCAAGGAGGGGTCGCTATGAGTCGGGTCCGACTCGACGGCACATAACAACAACAACAATCTTGATCAAGGTTGAATAAAATCAGAGTAAATTCATTGGTTTATAGCTTCACTGTCCTTAACTATCTGAGGACACTTTGGACCTCTTCAAAATTTAATTCCTTGAAAATCTATTTAAGCATAGAGAAAATCATTCATGCCCAAGTTGTTGAAATGCCTTTGGATGGTCCCCAAATAAACCTTCCTTATGTAACTTAGGTCAAATGAGTTTGGCACATTTCCCTATGTGTCCAATTATGTAATATCACCTTGGTTCATTAGTGAATTCCTCTGTGCCCACGACTCATTTATACCTTTGATAGGTTCCCAAGAGAAGGTTTCATTAACGCAGTGAATGACTACAAGTGTAGAAAGGCTCATTGAATTCTCTGGCAAAGAGTGACTTTTTTAGAAGTGATTTTTCTAGAGCCCTTAGTCTACTTTAGCTCCCTTCTGAGACTCATTCCTTCTGGGCCCCACACCACCTAGATTTACTGAAATATATAATTTTTCATTTCTGAAAACTGCAGTGCAATTTCTTGTTGGAATTGTAGGGGTGGGCAGCTTACAAACAAGCCTTTAAACTCTGAAATTGTGGTTGGTTTGTTAATGCATTCTGTATTAAGTTATTCTTTATTCTGTTTGGCATTATTTTATATTTCATTTGGAACGAAAACAACCAGTGAACTTGTTTGTCCTCCATCTCTATTTTTCCATTAGGTCAATCGTGGGGCGCAGATTCTTTTTTATCATCGGAACTTTATACCTGTATCGCTGTATTACAATGTATGTCACTACTCTCCCTGTGCCTGGAATGCATTTCCAGTGTGCTCCAAAGGTAAGTACCTCTAGATTACCCACAGAGCAAATCAAGAAACCTTATTGAACACATGCTCACATACATTTTTGTAGACACTTTTATATGTGCTTACTAAAATCTAGCATATTTTCTATTTTTCTTCAGATTTTGGGGGGAAGAAATTGTGTTCATAAAATATATATCTTTGTGCATAAAATTTTGTTTTTTATTCTTGCTGAAAATTATCATTGGCTATTTGACTCTCTCCTTCTTTACCTTCTCTGTCATTCACTCTTGTGTCTCTTCTATAAATATTAAGTTCCTGCTATATATGAGGTAAATTAAGGTAATTAAAAAAAAAAAAAAAAAACCTCACTGCCATTGAGTCCTATGCAACTCATAGCGACCCTTCCTTGGGTTTCCGAGGCATTATCACTACAGAAGTAGATTGCTTCACCTTCCTTCCGAGGAGTGGCTGGTGGCTTTGAACTGCCAGCCTTCTGGTTAGCAGTCAAATCCTTTAGGCATTGCACCACCAGAGCTCCTATTAAGGTAACGGCAGTGACCAAAGTCAAGTCCCTCTCCTCCTGGAGCTTACAGTCTATTGGGAAATGACAGATGGTTAAAAATATTTATTAAAAAAAAAAAATGTGAATTCACAATATGTCAGATGGTAATAAGTGAAGTAATTGTCAGATGAAAACAATAAAGCTGAGTAAGAATGAAAGAGAATAGGAAGATAGTAATTATTTGATAGAGACCTCAGGCAAGGTTTCTCTAATAAGAAAGCATTTGGGCAGGAACCAAGATGAGACAGCAAGCAGATTGATGGGGTGAGAGGTTAGTCGCAGTGGGTTTGAGAAAGAGCAGGGAGGCCAGCGTGGCTGAGTAGAGTTGTAAAGGGTCAGGCTGGTGCAAGTGACAGATCCCATGGGCCTCAGGCCCATTGTAAGAAATTGAACTTTGGTGGTGGTAGTGGAAGTGGCGACAACAAGTCCTATTCTGAATACACTTTGGAGATAGAATCAGCAGGATATGCTGAGTGGGTTTTGAGAAAGTCAGGGATAACTCCAAAGTTTTTACCCTGAGCACCTAGAAGGATGGGGTGATCTTTTGCCAAGATATGGTACAAGCATGTATGCTGAAACTGTCTTAAGCAGTTTTTATCAGTTTTTCCAATTAAGAGCCAGTGCTCCAAAAAGCTGTTGATCATCTGAGACCCCAATATGCCCTGATTCATAAAATGGAAATTTGCAAATCATGTGTTTTCTAGACAAGGGAGTGAAGTCTAACATTTTACTGAACACCAAGCAGATGTCTGAGGTGGAAGGAAAAATAGAGTTGTTCCAAAGAACTCAACAGTCTCTCTCACCAAATATAGGTGTGGTTTGGAGAAGCTATAATTTTCCAAAGTCATCAAAGCATAAAGTGTCTGTAATTAAAACAGTGTACATATTGAATTTAAACATTGGCTGATTTTTCGTGAAACTAATTTAAGGCATGGGAGGAGTCCAGAAGCATAACAAACACTTCTAAGGGGTTATTGTGACGTGTTAAATGGAAAAATGGCCACAGAAATGAAGGCTTCCAAGTAATGGATGAAACTTACAGAGGTGAATTGCTATGATTACAAAAAGGAAATAAATTAAAGATTGTTCTGCATGGAAGAGTTACAATTTTCAGAAACCACATCAGTAAATGTACTGCTGGATAGCTAACCTATGTAATAACATAATGGAAACTTTGGTAATATCACATGTTCATGTCAGAGCCTCTTCTGGAAGCCTAAGCAGGCTATAGGTACGTGAATTGTGGTTCACTAAAGCAAACACAGATTTTCAGAACAAACAAATCTGTCTTGGATGACACCCAGGATGCTCTTTAGAAGTGAGGATGGTAAGACTTTGTCTCTTGTACTTTGGTCATGTTGTCAGGAGGGACCAGTCCCTAAAGAAGAAGTGTTTGGTAAAGTAGGGAGTCCGCAATAAAGAGGAAGACCCTCACCAGGATGGATTGACACAGTGGCTACAGTGAGGGGCTCAAGCATAGCAATAATTGGTGAGGATAGCACAGGACCAGGCCGCGTTCTATTTTGCTGTATGCAAGGTTGTTAGGAGTCAAAACAGACTCAGTGGCAACTAACAGCAACAAAACAAACACAACTTTGTTTGACTGGAGGTTATGTTGTGTTATAGAACAGAATTACATTCTAAATTTGATTCATGAGCTGACTTTGAGAGCTCTTTAGAGTTTTGTGGTCACAAGGCTATTATATAATCTACCTGTCTCCTTTGTTCCTGACTATAGAATGCCCTTTGTGAATATGAGCAATGACAAAACCATGTATACTGAAACCACTTACTGTGGGAGGAGGATGTTAAAACCAAAACCAAATCCAATGCCATCAAGTCTATTTCAACTTGTGCCGATCCTATAGAACAGAGTAGACTGCCCCATAGAGTTTCCAAGGCCATAAATCTTTATAAAAGCAGACTGCCTCATCTTTCTCCCATGGAGCAGCTGGTGGGTTTGGACTGCCAACTTTTTGGTTAGCAGATGAGTGCTTTAACCACTGTATCACCAGAAATCCTTAGGAGGATGTTAGATCTAGTAATTGATGGCTAATTAAATTTGTAACTCACCATATATGATCATCACAAAAACTATCCCAGTGATAGGTCCCTTGGTGAAAACCTTGGCTGTCACAGTTTTCTAGTTGTATTCTCCCTCATTTATCCCATGGTTGACTTTAAATCCTTTGCTTACAATTTGGTTCAACTTCCAACACATACTTTGGTTTGCAGCCACTAAACTTGTGTTCTTCAAAGTGTGTTTATATTAATCTTGGCCCACTTATTAAGGCTTACATGTAATGATTCAGTGCTTCAAACCCATTTTGCCACACACAAGAAAGTTAAGCTGGGAGAGCTACATGCCCTTTCCCTGAGAAGCTTCCTGGGAAATACAAGAACAAAGAAATTCTCTTATTTATCAAAGGGACAGCGTAGATGGTAAAATTTCTGCTTTGGCATCAGCCAAGTTAAACTCTTCTCAAAAGGAAGATTGGGCAATCTACTTCCATAGTGATACCACCTTGGAAACCCAACGAGGGGTCACTATAAGTCAGATTCGACTCCGTGGCAGTGGGTTTGGGTAGGTACCTATTTTATTTTTGTGGAAGTGGTATGTGGAAGGCTCAGTTTAAGGAACACTTAAGAAGGCTCAAAATAGCTTTAGTTATTTCAATGGAAGCTTCTCCTCTTGAGTTTCTGTATATTCAATTCCACATCCAGTAATGGTATAGAAAGGTGTCTGAAAAGGAGAAAATAAATAGGAACTAGACTCTTATGTAGGAGCTCTGGTAGCATAGTGCCTAAGGCACTTGACTGCTAACCAGAAGGCTGGCGGTTCAAACCCACCAGCTACTCCTCGGAAGGAAGGTTGGGCAATCCTATTTCTGTAGTGATACTGCCTCGGAAACCCAAGAAGGGGTCGCTATGGGTTGGGGCCGACTCGATGGCACACAACAACAACAGACTCTCATGTGATGTGTGAAGAAGTACCAGTGAACTAGAATAGAACTAAAAAAAATTAACCCATTAACCGTAACCTTCACTATTCTCTCCTCTTCCCAGTTTTCTTTCTACTCTCCTTTCTTTTGTTCTTCCTTTCTTGAGGTTCTATTTAGCATTTACACTGAGTGTGATCTGACATCTCTTGGTAGCAGTAAACAGGACTGAGGAATTCAGGACTAAGGAAAGACAAAGATATCAAATCCTTCCTGTGCTCTATAAAGATACAGTGAATCAACTGCTATCGAAAATCTCCACATACCAATTCAGCTGAAAGTGAAAAGAAGATAAATGTGTGGCTTTATTTAGCTCCCAGTTAATACCTTTGGACCCCCAGTAAAAGGGCTGATGGCTTTAAGTGTTTCTGTCCTTGAAAATTAGAATATCGAATTGGAATGGGTGAGAAGATTTTTAAAAAAAAAAAAGTACAATTTTTAAATTAAGAATAATGTGTCCATTTAAAGGGACCAGGTTTGCTGGTCTGATAGAGCCTGGTGGAACCCCTGAGAATATGGCCCTTATTTGTCCTTCACGTCTGGAATTGAACTCACTCCTATGGCTCCCAGCCAAAAAAAAAGATAGGCATATGGGCTGAACATTTACATTAGGTAGATACATTCCTTGGAAATCTTTACAATCATGGGAGAATAGAAGGGCTGTGTATGCACAGGGAGACAGCTTGTGGGGCAGGGGTGCATGGGAGGGAAGGACACAGGGAAGAGGTAACAATGGGGAAGAAGTGGGAAGAGAGCTGTTGCATTGTGGGAAAACACACTCAATGCCATGAGACAAAGTGTATGTGAACTGCTGTATGGAAAATGAATTTGGCTCTGTAAACTTTCACCCAAATCACAATAAAAACTAATAATAATAATAATAATAATGTGTGCTTTTAAAACTGGGAACACAATGGCCAGGACAGAGTGTATGTATCTTTGTATTTGACCTCAGTGTTGACAGTGGTTCATATCAATCTCATGACAAGGAGTTCCTGAAGGACATAGCTGAGTTGATAAAGCCTATAGCTGTACTTTGTAATATGCCTGGAGTGAGTGCTGCAGTCTATCAACAGCCCTCTGGTCGTGCTAGAATATGAATCCTATATTACCTTCTAGATCCTGTATTTTCAAGGTACAAACTCTTAAGATTTGGCATGTTTTCACTTAAAGACTATCTGTTCTTGGTAAGGAGCACTAGTGGCACTGTGGGTAAAGCATTTGGCTGCTAACCAAATGTGGTGGTTTGAAGCTGCCAGCCACTCTATGGAATAAAGATGAGGCAGTCTGCTTCCATAAAGATTTACAGCCTTGGAAATGGTGGGGGCAGCTCTACTCTGTCTTTTACACTCACCATGAGTTGGAATCAACTCGATGGCAGTAGGTTTGGTTTTGGTTTATTCTTGGTAAAATGCATAGATTTTCTTTATGCAGCATGTTACATACCTGTCACCCAGCTCTCAAATTTATAGTCAGTAATAATCTTTCTAAGGAGTCCAGGTGGTGCAACAGTTAGGCGCTTAACTGTGAATAGGAAGGTGGTTTGAACCCACCCTAAGGCCCCTCAGGACAAAGACCTGGCTCTCTGCTCCTGTAAATATTAAGCATAGAAAACCTTCTGGGGGAAGACATGGTGTGACTATGAGTTGAAATCTACTCACAGCATCTAAAAACAAGAGTCTTTCTTATTTCTCTTCTCCTGTGTTCTATTGCTCAATATTTTTCTGAGTGTCATTCTTCTTTGATTTTTCTAAGCCTATGAGCAGGTCTTAGTTCCCTTGTACTAAGTTGATTTGAGTCCCTCCATCTGGCCTCTCAACATTTCAGTATTCTGATTTTTCCTGCCTACCATTTTGACAAACTCAGTCTACTACTCCTTCCTGTAATGCTTAAATTCTAATGGGATATAATCTTTTGGCCATTGCCTGAAAGTCCAGCTCTAGCCCATCATTGTTCCCCATGGGATAACACCTCTCATATCATCACAGTAAATTCTAGGGACCGCCACACCCTTGACCAAGGGAGCTCTCTCCTGAGCACCTGCCACAGCACACAGGTTACTTCTTTGGGGATGCTTTTCTTTTGAAAGTATCCATTTTTTTAAGTTTCTATTACCTCACCAATCCACCATTTTCAAACCTGTTTAATTTGTTGCAGCTCCTGTTTTTAACTGTAAATGATTGATCAGACCTTATAAAGCTATACACACCCTTTGGGTTTTCCATTTAATACAAGGAACCTATATACTGCAGAATATTAGTGATGTGGTATGCGGCAGAATTAAATATTAACCATCCAAAACCTTGACGTCCCCCTTGTAAAAAGGAGAGAAAGGAGCTTTGACCTGTTTTTTAGCTCATAGCTATGGTGAAGTCATTGGTTATTAATATTTTTAAAAGCTTTGTCCAAGGACACAATACCACCAAAACATATTATTAGTAATGTGCTGAATAATTTAAAACTTGTCAATAAAACTCACCAATACAATGAATAAAACCCAATCTGAGGAACTTCCCTCTCTTCCTCCTTGGAGTCTTTTCAATTTTTTAGATTAAAAATAAATAAATAAAACTAAAAGCTAGCGCCCTTTCTAGGTGTAACAAAATCTGGGCTATGACATTATTTTATCAGTTTGTAAATGCCCTTCCTAATCTTCATGTGTCATTCAGCTCAACGGAAACTCTCAGGCAAAAGTGGAACGGATTCTACGGTTGATTTCTGGCGGTGGATTGTCCATAACGGGATCACATATCTTGTGTGGAGACTTCCTCTTCAGCGGTCACACTGTTGTGCTGACACTTACTTATTTGTTCATCAAAGAATGTAAGTAATAGCTCATTCCCACCTTACTGATTCATTGCTATAGTGGGAGGGAACTGTAGGCCTTGAAACTGATTGTTGTTGTTGTTGTTGTTATTTGCCATCGAGTCTGCCCCGACTCATAGCGACCCCTCCTTGGGTTTCCGAGGCAATATCACTACAGAAGTAGGATTGCCCAACCTTCCTTCCGAGGAGTAGCTGGTGGGTTTGAACTGCCAGCCTTCTGGTTAGCAGTCAAGTGCCTTAGGCACTATGCTACCAGAGCTCCCTGATAGGAGTCCTTATTCTATTGGTATTGGTAGCTATGAACAATATCTATATATTTATATATAAGTTATTTGAACACTGAAGGCTTAAAACCTGGCCCTGATCGTATAGAGACTGGTGGCAACCCCAAGACTATGGCCCTTAAGACAACATTCAAACCTGGCCTAACACCCACGAGGAATATACTGTCCAGAACAATCAACTATATGAGACCAAACAGTCAGCATTTGCCCAAAAACAAAGTTTAGAAGGCAGGAAGGGGCAGGAAAAATAGGCAAATGAGAACAGGGAACACAGGCAGGAAGTGGTAAGAATGCTATTCTATTTAGAAGATTGCAACTAATGTCATGAAAAAAAATGTGTATAAATTGTTGAATGGAAAACTAATTTGCTCTGTGAACTTTCACCCAAACTGCAATAAAATAAACAAATAAATAAAACTTGGCCCTGGCTTCTGTCTAGCATTTTGCATGCCTCACAAAGCTATTTTAATACTGGAACTAGGAAGAACTTATGTTTATTGCATTCTAAGGTCAAAAGTAAAAGACTTTTGAATTATTTGTTGGACACTTTCATTCTGTCATTCCAAATAATTCAGCTAATATTTTCCCCTTTTTAGATTTATCTTTGTCCCACTTTATTCCCATTTTATTTTTTTCAACCACTTACTATGCTTTAGTAGGGGTCTTTGTGGAACATTTTGCCACTACCAATCATTTTCTTAAGAGATTGTCTTTCTCCATCTGAACATAAAGGCAAGAATGTGAAATATCTTTCCTTATTTATATGGTTAATTCTCATTATATAAGATCTTTTCATAGTCTGATAGTTTTCAATAGCCAGAATAATGCACTGTCCATTGTGGGGTTGTATGTGATTTTAGCTGCCTAGCAGATCCCATTTTTACAGGTTTCTGAGGTTTTGTATTTAAGCCCATTATCTCAAAATCCTTTTGAAGTAGTGATGCTACTTCCTTCATTTTTTTGCAAAGGTGGTCAGTGCTAACCTTCATTCTTGAATTAGTTCCAAGATACTCCAACTCAGTGAGTTTTTTTTAGACATTTATCTCAATTCTCTTAGCATATTATAAAGGAAGTCTTTAGGCAGAGACTAGCAGAAAGAAATTTCCCCTCTTCTCTCCTCCTTCCTCTTTCCTTGGCCTTTCATCAGTCCATCCTAACCTAATGGCAAGAATTTATTTCTGCATCACTATTAGACAAAGTTTGATAACCTGATGGTACTGTAGATATCAAACTTTGTCTAATAGTTACACAGAAATAAATTCTTGCCCCATAGATTGCTTAGAGTTTTAGGTTTAAGTTCCGCTCTGAGGGTAATAAGATAGATTTGAGATTCTCTGTCTCTGGTGGTGCAGTGCTTAAAGCATTTGACGGCTAACCAGAAGACTGGCCATTCAAACCTACCAGCTGCTCTGTGGAAGGAAAATGAGGCAATCTACTTCCATAAAGATTTACTGCCTTGGAAACCCAATGGGGGTTGCTATGAGTGGCAGTGGGTTTGGTTGTTTTTCGTTTTTTGTTTTTTTGTTGTTTTTTTTTTAAATAATAGATGAAGGAGCCCTGGTAGCGTCAAGCTCTTGACTACTAACCAAAAGCTCCATGGTTCAAACTGCCAGCTGCTCTGTGGGAGAAAGATAGGATACTCTGCTTCTGTAAATATTACAGCCTGGGAAACCCTATGGGGCGGTTCCACTCTGTCCTATAGGGTCACTATGAGTTGGAATCAACAGCAGAGGGTTTGGGTTTATAGTAGATGAACTACAGTCTTTTAATATTGTGAGACTTGTATAGCTTCTATGTTGTTACCTTTTTAAATGCAATATACAGACTTACAGTAGGGAGAGTAGTTAACTGTGGGGCTTCATTATACTTGACTTTAAGGCTAAGGGCCTCTGCACCTTTCTCCTTGTTTCTACTCTCACACTAAGGGGAGTGGGAAAGGGGACCTAGGCCTGTCTCTGCACCATCAGAAACAGACCTCCCACTGTCATCTAGTCAGCTCCTTCTCATAACAACCCTGTAAACTCCAAAACCAATCTCACTGCCATTGAGTCAATTTTGACTCATAGCAACCCCTACTGGGTTTCTGAGGCGGGAAAACTTTAAGGAAGTAGATTGCCCCATCTTCCTTCTGCTGAGTGGCTGGTGGATTTGAACCACCAACCTTTTCTAGTTAGCAGTCAAATGCCTTAGGTACTGTACCACTGGAGCTCCTTATAACAACCCTATAAAAATAACCAAACTCACTGCCATTGAGTCAGACCTGACTCATAGCAACCTCTCCTTAGGTTTCTGAGGCAGAATCACTATGGAAGTAGATTGCCCAACCTTCCTTCCAAGGAGTGGTTGGTGGGTTTGAACTGCCAGCCTTCTGGTTAGCAGTCAAATGCCTTAGGTGCTACACCACCAGAGCTCCTTAACAACCCTGTAGGACAGGGTAAAACTGCTTTATAGGGTTTCCAAGGCTAAAGCATTATTCAACCATTCTTGAAAGTAATTTCACTATGATTGTAAATGCAGTCAAATATGAAATAAATTTCAACTTACTGGATTATGTTTATTGTGAATAAAATTTTAGAAAAAGAAACAAGCAGTTGTCCAAATTATGGAGACAAATTCTGGCTGAAACTCTATCCATGTCATTAGCATGTGTGAGAAATAGGTATATGATTGTGTTTAACGTGAGTACTCCACTTCTCTCTTATGGTGGATCAGTGCGGTGACTTTCTTAGTGCCCTCACTGAGCCTAAAATATGTAAGTGAATGGCCAGGAATCTTAAAGTTTACACAGCTGTCAAGTCAACTTGGACTCATGGTGACCCCATGTGTGTCAGAGTGGAAATGTGCTCCACAGGGTTTTCAATGGCTGATTGTTGAGAAGTAGATCACCAGACCTTTCTTCCAAGCCCCTGGGTGGACTCAAACTTCTAATCTTTGGTTCAGCTGCTGAGCACCACTCGTACCACCCAGGGACTCCAAGCTTTACGTGTACTTCTTGTTGTGTGCTGTTGACTCAAATCTGACTCATAGCAACCGTATAGGACCTAGTAGAACTGACCCAGCATTTCCCAAAGCTATAGTAATCTTTATGGAAGCAGATTGCCACATTTTTCTTCAGAAGTGGCTGGTGGGTTTGAATCCAGTGACCTTTTGGTTAAGCAGCTGAGCATTTATTTAACCACTGAGCCACCAGGGCTACTTTAAGCTTTACACAGGGAGTGCTGTGGTTGCTATTGGAAGTAACTCTAAATTTGCCAAGAATCAAAATTTTGCTAGTCACACGTCATTCTTTTTTTTCCCTTGGAGAATGAAAATTAAATATATGTAAGATCTGAAACAATTCCTGCTCTCTCCTTTTCTTTTCTTATTTTCATTGACAGCTACCTTTCTTTTTGACCCCAACTGTTTTTCTTTCCAGGAGGGTCCTTACCTGAACCAGAATAAGCCCATTCCAGCCAACCTAATACAAAACAGTTCTTTTCTCTTCCTTGTTAAACAGCTCATTAGCAGTGGACAAGACCTGGAGTATCTAGTGATACGATCATCCCTAATGAATGACCATTAGATCTCCTACCAGTGGTTTCCCCTTCTTACCTGAACAAGTCCTGAGTAGTTTACAGTGATTCATTTTTGATGATTACTTTTCTTCCAGTGAGTTCCTGACTATAGATCACTCTTCTTAAGTTCATTAGAACAGACTGTAAATCATTAAATGCATCTCTGGGAATCTTACTAACTCTCTAATTTTTCTACTGCCCAGATTCACCTCGTCACTTCTGGTGGTATCATTTAATCTGTTGGCTGCTGAGTGCTGCCGGGATCATCTGCATTCTCGTGGCTCATGAACACTATACTGTCGATGTGATCATTGCTTATTATATCACAACTCGACTGTTCTGGTGGTACCATTCAATGGCCAATGAAAAGGTGAGAGCAGTGAAAATCCATGAATGATTCTTTCATTGAACACAGTCGACCTCTTCTCATACAGTGGGGTCTTAGATTGGTTAATGGGAATAACTGCTCTTGCCACCCAATCTGTGGTTTGGGACAATTCACTTCATAAAAGAAAGCAAAATAAAGAACTTCACAAATGTAAATGACACTTACAGATAAAAATGCTTTAAAATTATAGAGCATAATAGTTTACTAATATAGTTATATTAGAATTGAAGAAGGATATATGCTAAATTAAAATGTAGGTACCTTTTCTGTACAAGCACTATGGTTCAGCTAGGTAAGACATTCTCTTCCTTCAAGGAACTTATGTTAATTTGCAAGAAAAGACAGTATTAATTTAAAGAAAATAAACAGGCAAAATCAATAACCTGTGAATTACTAGATTTGATGACATCTTTAGTGGTATAGGGAGGATTAAAGCATTGAGCTGCAAAACAAAATCTTAGTGGTTCAAACCCACCAGTCACTCCACATAAGAAAGATGAGGTGGTCTGCTTCCATAAAGATTTACAGTCTTGGAAACCCTATGGTGCAGTTCTACTCTGTCCTATAGGGTTGCTATGAGTCTAAATCAATTAAATGACAGTGGGTTTCATTTTGATTTGGTGACATTGTGCTCTCTGGCTTCTCCTCTTAACTTCCCTTACTTGTTTCTGCTTCATCCTACCCCCAGATGCCCTTTTCTTTCTTCTCCCATTCATTCTTAAAGAACTAGTTCAAATGCAACCTCTTCTGGGAGGCTTTTGTAACCCTTGCTCTCTTGCTGTAGCCGCAGGGTAGAATTATTCCTTCCCTTATTTGTGTTTCCCTAGTCTTGGTGTGTGCCCTTGATGTAATAGAGTTAGTCTGTGTAGTGTGATTCACTTCATCTTTGGATAGCCTTGCCATATTGTCTGCCGCTTATAATGTTTGCAGAACTTGCAAGCAGTTGATATGTCATTCCCCAAGAACCTAATTCCAACCCTCATTTCTGGAATACACCTACTCCTTACTTACCAACTATTTCATTATGTGACATTTCATGTTTTAAACAGTAGTATAAATTCCATCTGACTATTTTGTGCACTAACATCTGACAGTAACAAACAACAAGGTGTGAGGTGAGAGTAATGCTAGCTGTGTTGGTTAAGGTTATATGTCATCTTGGGTAGGCCATGATTCTTGGTGGTTTGGCAATGATATCCCTGTTCCACGAACTCTTCTGAATCCAGCTTGAATTTACGGAAGTTCCTTGTCAATATACTATTGCAACACTTTTGGAATTATCTTCAACAAAATTTTACTTGCATATACATTGTTTGATAATTTCCACATTCTGTTGGATCACCTTTCTTTGGAATGGTCACAAATATTGATCTCTTCCAGTCAGTTGACCAGGTGGCTGTCTTCCAAATTTCTTGGCATAGATGAATAAGCACCTTCAGTGCAGCATGCATTGATTGAAACATCTCAGTGGGTATTCTGTCAATTCTTGTGTTTCGCCATTGCCTTTAGTATAGCTTGGACTTCTTCCTTCAACACTATTAATTCTTGATCATAAGCTACCTCCTGAAATTGGTGAAGGTTGACCAATTCTTTTTGGTACTGTGATTCTGTGTATTTATTCCATCTTCTTGTAATGCTTCCTGCATTGTTCAATATTTTGCCCATAATCCTTCAATATTGTAACTCTAGACTTAGATTTTCTCATTCTTTCAGCTTGAGAAATGCTGAGCATCCTCCTTCCTTTTGGTTTTCTAACTCCAGGTCTTTGCACATTTCATTATAATAATTTATTAATTTAATAATTATAATAATTATTTTGTCTTCTTGAGCCACACTTTGAAATCTTCTGTTCAGCTCTTTTATTTCATCATTCCTTCCATACTCCGCATTCAAGAGCAACTTTCAGAATCTCTTCTGACATCCATTTTGATCATTTCTCCCTTTCCTGTCTTTCTAATGACCTTTTGCTTGCTTCTTACATGATGATCTTGATGTCATCCCACAACTCATCTCATCTTTGGTCATTGGTGTTCAGTGCATCAAATCTGTTCTTCAGATCATCTCTAAATTCAGGTGGGATATACTCAAGGTCATATTTTGGCTGTCATGGACTTGTTTTAATTTTCTTCAGCTTCAGCTTGAACTTACATATGAGCAATTGGTGGTCTGTTCCACAGTCAGTTCCTGGCCTTAACTGTTGATACTAAGTTTCTCCATCATCTCTTCCCACAGATGTAATCAATATAATTCCTGTGTATTCCATCTGGTGAGTCCACATGTATAGCTGCTGTTTGTGTGGTTGAAAAAGGTATTTGCCATGCATAAGTCATTTGTCTTGCAAAATTCTATCATGAGACCTCCGGCATCATTCCTTTCACCAATACCATATTTTCTAACTACCAGTGCTACTTCTTTGTTTCCAACTTTCACATTCCATTTCACCAGTAATAATTGGTACATCTTGATTGCATGTTTGGTCAATTTCAGACTGCAGAAGTTGGTAAAAATCTTTAATTTCTTCATCTTTGGCTTTGTGGTTGGTGCATTTGAAAAATAATAATATTAACTAGTCTTCCTTGCAGGTGTATGAATATTATCCTAGCACTGACAGCATTGTGCTTCAGGATAGATGTTGAAACATTCTTTTTGATGATGAATATGACACCATTCCTCTTCAATTTGTCGTTCACAGCATAATAGACCATGATTGATTTAGAAAAGCCAATACCAGTCCATTTCAGTTCACTGAATGGTTTGGAGGTTATGTAA